AAGCTCTTCATAGCAAAATAAACTATATAACTAATTAAATGTGTGATTAAAAATGTTGCATTTTAATATAAATCTGTATGATATTAAAATAGCTACAGTAGCTCAAGTGTCACCTGCTGTTGTTGTTACAGTAGTACTAATGCTAGGACTTCACTAAAAGCACATCTGAACGTGCAACGAAAGAAATATCATTAATAAAAGCCAAGATAGTCAATTAATCGAGTTATTAAATCTTTATAAATAAATTATATATACACACTGACATTTAAAATGCCAAAACGTGCACAACTGCAAGGGTCAACTTAAACAATACTGTACATCTATTCTCTTTCATAACACGCAAAATGTGCGTGACAAACAGTTCCTGCAGGTTTAATGTTAATGCTCGGACGCATGAGGATAACACAACAGACCATTGTGTTTTTACGTCCCCATACTCAAATGACAAAAATAAAAAAACATGTTTCACAGGAAACATGAATTTTTGAGCCAAAAAGGAAGCCTGTTTACAGTAAATGTTCTTTAACCATGCCCAGTTCATGTCCCCAGTTATTGTCACATTTCCCGTTTCTGACGGACAGATCCCATGACAGGGATGCTGAACAAAACTGTTCAAACTCAAAACGCATGATAATGCATAATGTGCGCAAAAATAGGCGATGACTTCGTTTTAAACTCACTGATAACCTGTTTATTTTAAAATAAAAGCAAATCAATAATATTATCTAATAGTATTAGTAATGTATTAATTGTTTTAGCTAATATTAATGTTTTAAATTAAATACACACAATACAAGCATTTTACTACGGATTTATTATAGGCTAGGCACATAAAAAATGTTAATCGAAATTTCTAAATATCCATATTAAATGTTAAAGCGGTTTTCTTGACTTTCTTAGGACTGTCAATCTACATAGCATCAACAAAACACCACCAAAAACAATTAAACAAAACTATTATTATCGTTAAATCTAACCTGAATATACAATTATTTAGATAAACGATTATCTATTATCTATGACACGAATTTCATTTGAACAACAATGACGACGATGCTGTTTAGCCTAAATCAGATTTTATTTGCACACGACTGCCATGTGAAACCGGTCTGGGAATCAGGGGACATCTACTCAGCAACCCAACTGTCAGCGGTCAACTGCTCACTTCCTGCGGGTCTTATTCGGGGATTTGGGCTAATATTTATATAGGATAGGATTTTATATAACGTCCGCGTACACGCAGACTCGAAAATCAGCGCCGCGCGCTCCTCTGACACGCCATGATTTATTATCTGCTAATTGATATCGGGTTCTAATTAACATCTGACCGCTTTCTCTCTCCAGGGTTTTGTCAAATTTGGAGAGATACCTAAAAAGCGCCTCGAGCCACTGTGAGATACCTGCAGTGTGGAAGGATTTCGTTTATAAATAGGCTATGGATGCTGATAGACGCAAATATCACAAACAGATTGTTGTGTAAAACATGAAATCGAGCCCTAAATTAGGGGTTATTTTTGTTTAAGTGTTTGCAATGCTTTTACGCTTGCAGGTTAATCATCATCGCGCCTTTGAAAGGATAAGGAACATGTCTTAACATATAAAAATTTCTAATGAGGCATTGAGTCTCGTGTTACCACAGCACAACTCAAAACCCCGTGTGCAGGACCACACAGTTTACTCTATTTGATGCTCGAAATCTTATTATCATATAATATTTATAATATGCAAATATAATTATAACTCAGAATAACTTGTTTTCTTTACCATGATTAAACATTCATACTATTACTACAGTAGCAAAAATACCAGTAATGATCAGCACCATTCATAGAATCGTTTTTTTTCTTCCATAAACTATGTTAAAATAATTTGTGAAGCCGAAATAAAACTACCCTCCTTTATAATAATTTATACCTTATTATATGATTTTGAAAATAAATTGCACAGCCTACGGAAAAGTTTTCCAAAATTTTTCAATTGAATGTTTTCCCCGTTAATAGCATATTTCTCGGTTTTAACTCAGTTTTATCTGAGCAGATATCTTAATTTATTATTTCTTTCAATTTAAAAACAATTATTTGCCTAATAGCTATTAGATTTTAGATATTAAATAGCGATTTTCAGTTGCGACATTCAAATAAATTGAGGCAACATACAAATAGACAAAGAATAAATTGTAATGAAGCTAATAAACTTATTTTCTTGTGATCCAAAACAGCGCATTCAGAATTTGAAAAATCCAAATTTTATAAAGTACCATAGTATCAATTGTATACAGATACATTTTGCATATATGCAAAAATTACCACGTTTGTGAATTAAAAAATAGAAGTAAAAAAAAACGCAGACAGTAATTTTTACAATTAATTTCAGCGTAAAGTCATGTTTTACATGTTTAACTTAAAACATTTACTCTAACCGACTAGAAATCGGAGAGCAGGCATAAAAAGCATTATCTAGGCTAATTAAAAGAGACTTACGCATGCCAAATAATAGGCAACTCGATCTCACGAGAAAACAATGCTAAAAAGGAGGGTTCTTTCAAAAAGAATAAACAGTTTTCACATTTTTGTAAATGTCCTATTACAATTCCTCTAGGCTATAATGTGAACATGAACTTGGGGAAAAGGGTTTTGCTCAAAACACGGATTCAGAATAGGTAACAACAATCAAATCACTGCACGATACTTAACTATGATTAGTACGCATACAAATTCTAATAACAAAACTTAGATCCATTCACTTCATAATATTAATCTATTAATGCTTGAAGGAAATTTGTTCTGGTAAAGCTATAATATATGTAGGCTAAACGAATATAAAACGCTATAGGATTAGTCACTTAAAGACGTTTTATATTGGATCTTGAGAAGAAATTATTTCAACTTTAGATGTTATACGATATACAGAAAAAACATTCACGCACACACACATACACACACACACACACACCTGGTGGATTCTGTAGGGCGCCGGTAAGAGACAAAACAGGAAATGTGCCTCTCTTCAAAAACAGCATCCAAACCACTAATTAATTATGTGTGCTAGTTCAAGTGATGCGTAAAGTATGCTATACTTACGTCGCAGTGATGGTTCACCACGGACGAGAGAGGTTTCAGAAAAAAAAACAGGCTATTAATTTAAAACATTTAAAAAAGAAGGCATACATGAACGATGCTAAAATTTAAAAATCTTACAAATCTTAACAGTATTTTTTCTAATTCTGAAATATAATTAGTTTAGTAAAACAAATGTGCAAAACAGTTCTTTTGTCCCTAGAAGTCTAAATTCGCTGTTGATAGATTCGCTTATTTTTGTAGGCTACTTGATGATTTTGTGGGAGGAAAAAAAAACATCTAGCCTACAAGTTTTTAAAATAAAGTAAAACAACAGCAAAAAAATCATAACAACTATTTGAATTTGTTACTCAAGCGCAAAATCTAAGATTTGTTTTCCGTTGCGCAACATTACGGTCTGTCCAGTTTTTATCAAGCTCTGAATTGTGTCTGTTATCACCTGAGTATTTACAAAGGACGCTTCCGACTTGACAGTGATGAAGTGACCTAGAATCAAAAGACGCATCTGATAAAAGAAGGAAATGCTTATACGCACGACTGCTACTTGATCTTTCACAAAAATCAGAGTCACTGTAACAATTCCAGCAAACAGATAGAAAATAGAAATGTAAATAAATAAATAAACAAATGAAAAGACAGGAATGTGTAACCAATGCAACAATTTCATTGTCTGTTTAAATGTTGTGACACACTATACACGGTATGTGGTTTTTACAAAAATAATAAACTAGGTAACACGTTCTAATCATAAGATTATTTTTAAAGTGTAATCTAATTAACAAACAATTTAAATCGTCCAAAAGGGTATTGAAAAAGAAGAATACAATATGTATTTAAACTAATGGAAATTAAGGCTAGAAAATCTTTCTTTTTTATTGTAAATAAAATATAGACCAAATAAAATACACAAAAATTGTTTATGATTCTTTGAATGAATGTCCCACACATCTCAAAGATTTTCTGTAAAAAAATAACATTTGTTTATTTACGACCGTTAGCATGCGAGGGGTAAGATAAACATCCAAAAACAAATAGTGTTAAGCTGAAGTGAAAACAGCGGTGTCGTTAACTAGGTTATCTCATTAGTGCCCCGTTGCTTTTGCCTGTTATTCAATCGCCCGAGTGTAAATTAGATTCAATCCGGTTGCTATCGCTGCAGGTCAACAAAACATAACTTTTGTTTCTATTCATTAATTATGAACCTTGATAAGCCGATAACCAGTAAGATATTGTATAGCAAAGAGAAGGGTCAAGTGCCTAAGCCACGCGATACACTCCTTACGTTTCACGAGCACTTGAGTCATTACCTGGCTGCAGAGATGTTTTAAACTTATTTGCAAAAAATATATAATATTAACATAATGCCTTGCTTACAAGTAACCTACCTTACTGCCTTTTAAGAACGGCCTAATTATTATTATTATTATTATTATTATTATTATTATTAAAGATATTATTAATATTATTTTATTCTGATTTCCCCTTTAATTACCTAAAAAGTAAAGCAAAATACGTGATTTAAACTTGTGTTGTGTTTCTTAAAAGTTTATTCAGTGTATTGTCCTAAAGTAATCAAACGGGTTTAAATGATCTATAAATTAAAAACGTATAAAATGCGTAAATAGGCATGTTTAATGTACACATGGTTTCTTAAAAATAAAAAATACTATTAGCCTACAATCAAAAGTCTAAAGCAAACGTAGTAAAAAGGATTAAGCTCCAAGATTCAAACGATGATCTGAAAAGTACTGTAACTAAAAAAAAACTTCCTAAAACTTTCCCACATATGGCAGCTCAATAACAATATACAGTGAGTCTAAGATCTTGCAAAGAACCACTAAAATCCATTTTTAAATGCACTGATAGGTCAAACGCTTTAAGCTGGCTTAATTTACCGAGCAGTTCAGTGTGCCTGCATGCAGTTCATTGGTGTACAGTACGGAGTGTCTGTGCTTGCAATGTTTTCTACTACCAGTGGGAAAGGCGCAACACATAATTTGCTGTAAAAGTATAGCAGGACATCCGCGTGATGACGTTCTCTTTTTCTTTTCTTTTTTCTTGCCAGCGAATTCAAATTTGGTACAGTGATTGACAAGGTCCTATTCAAATAAAACATCCCGCGGAGAGCGTGCACGCTTTTTTCAACCGTGCACGGGAGGCGTGGAGCTCGCGCTTCTGACATTCTCTTCTCTCCCGCAGTAGCTCTTCTCCAGTGAGCCCTCATGACATCATCCAGACACCGCGGCTGAAGAAAACACTTTCTGAGTGCGTGTATGTGTGTGTGCAGAGGAGCGATGTTTTAATACAGCCGGACGTGTTCGAGCAGATCTTTTAATTGGAGCATATAAAGCGGAGCAAATTCCGTGGGAATAGTTTGTTTTGAAAACAGTGGAGATCACCAACATCGCCAAAAGGCCCTTTCTGAAAGAATGCAACTTCGTGTACTTCGAGTTATTGTTTGTACTGTCTGTGTTCTCGACATGGAGTAGCTCGGAAGGGGGTGGAAGCGGTGTTCCTTGACTCAGTTTCTCGCTTATGGACGACAGTAGTCCCCTTTCTCCAAAGGCAAATGCTTTCAGTATTGCCTGTCTGATTTCAGCGAGGGATCAAGCAGGAAACACCACGTTTGACAAACACGCCACTAGCCTGGACAAGCAAGCGGTGCAAAACTGCTCCAGATACATTAAAATGCATTACAGCACTGTCACGCGGGAGATGGAAGGTACGGGCACGATCTTGACAATAACCTTGTGATTTCTTGGGCTCGCGCAGTTTGTTTAACACTTTCGCGTCGCAGTTGGCGCGCGAGAAACTTTCAGTTAATACCAAAGACACGTGTATTTCAATATTCTAACGCAACAGTCAACGAAGCATGTTCTGTCTGTTTACGCCCAATGCATTTAATTTACAAAACACCGCGCTTTCCTCTATATTATTTTAAAGTAGCCCGAAATGCAAATAAGTGTTCCAAAGTTGCACCTTAGCTATAATTTGTAAAACAGGCTTGCGTGGTCTTTGAATAACATAAACAGGTCAAAGAAAACATTAAGCACAGTACACGGTAGAAACAGTGTCACAGAATTCTAGAAAAAGATTCCACCTCCAACCCAAGGATGAGCTTGTCAGATGAACAAAAACCAACAGCGAAATTGTAAACAAAAGGAAACGGCGCTTAGAAATGGACCGGAGACTTGTTCCTTCGCAACATTAGTTGTTTGTCCGTACTGCGCGGGTGTTTGTTTTCTTTGCGAAAAAAGTTTACTCTCCGTCGTGCCAGCTAACCAGTCTATTGTTAGAGGAGGGCGGTGTGGGCGATACACTTATCCAAAAGTAAATGGGTGCCGGAAAGCCCATTATAAGGGGCGCACTTCTCTGTCAATCAGTCTCGTCCCAAGGCGAGGAAAGGCACATTACCTGCAGTTCCTTATCTAAATAGAAATAAGAACCGGTTTTATCGCAAAGGGGAGGCCCTATGCGAGAGATAAGAGAGAAGTCTGGATTTCAGTTTAGCAAAGGGGCAGGACAGAGGCCGCTTGGAACAGTTCACAGCGCGCAAGACTTTGAAAACAACGGTGCGCCAACACGCACGAGTTTAGATCGGTAATCAACACAAACTTACTAAAAAGTCGTTTTTACAAGTTCAGTGCGAAGGAAGACATCATTCGTCAAATCTAAGCAAAATGCGTAAACATTGAAGGAGATCATCGTTCTTAAAGTTCTGGACAGTCATAAAAGAAGAAAACCTTGCGATACGCGATCGACACATTATCTATTGGAGACATCTTGAAATTACTTTCTATATAGACGAACACTCACTTGCATATTGTTGCTTTTGAACTCGAGTCCAGCGCAAATTGTAAATCCAATTTTTGGAATGATTTCAGCAATATCAAGCCCGTGGCTGACGCAGCTGTCCCATTTTTGCGATGTTGCAGCCTTCACGACCAGCAGCCTGAGCAGCCTCAATACGCCCGGGAGTTACCATCTCTCTCCTTCTCCTGGGGATCCATACAGCCATCATGAAAGCCAGTTTGAGCCGTGCCCGGCTGCCCAGCACGCCTACAACTATTCCGGATCCAACTCAGCACAAGCCCCGGCACAAGGAGACAGCGGGACCTCCAATTGCTCCTCGTCGTCGTCAAGCTCAACGCCGAACAAAACGCTGGTGAAAAAGAACCCTAAAGTAGCCAATATTAATGTACAGTTGGAAATGAAGGCACTCTGGGATGAATTTAATCAACTTGGGACTGAAATGATTGTCACAAAAGCCGGGAGGTGAGTTGACATTATGCTGAAGATTGTTTGACATCTGGTTGTTGTTTTAACAATTTCTCAACATTGATGTTAATTATTCTTGTTATTGTTGTTAATTTTTAGGTTTTATTTCGTTTTATTCATTTTTTTAATTTAAACCCCTACAAACTTTCTATTTAGTGTAGCAATCTAAATGCATCTGCATTTCAAAATGAGCCTTTTTAAGTAGCCTATCTTCATCGTCAATGCACTTGATTGGTGGTAACAATTTGTTTTGTCAACTGAAGTCATCTTATAATCATACTTGCACTAGAAATACAAATTTATCATCTTATTGTCAGTTCATTGTGATCAATTGTGAATAAATACCTTTAACATAAGCTTAGCACAATCATGGCCATTTAAATTAAAGTGTAAACTGCCTATTTACACAGTGATAAGACATACAGCGTAAGATACAGTATATTTTAGCCCACCTGTGTGCTAAAGGGCTCCTTGCTGACTTCAGGATTAATTCACTATAGTGCATGCATAGATATGGTGTCTTATTTACACAGGCCGTTCTGTTTATTCAGGTGAATGTCGAGCTTTAGCTAGAAATTACCTCGTGCAAAACAGACCGTGATTAAATGAATGCAAAGCAAATGAATATGTATACACTATACGACTAAGATAAATGCGCTCCAGCGTACCACACAAATACAAATTCACACATGTATTTTGATCTAGCCATACCAGGCCTCATAGGGTGCATCGTGATGCTCTAAATAATGTTTCTATCTTAAATGTACCTAAAAAAATCACTAGTTAAGGAAACGAGCTGAACGACACTTATAATAATTTTGAAAGCAAAGCATCTGCATTAATACTGACAATGAGGTCACTAAACCACTACGTGGACCGTTCATCAAGTTTAGCGTTAATTTCTTGCAGCTGCTTTGGCCTACTAAAACTCGAAGCAGTTCACTGGGGAATAAAACATTGCATGCACTTTAAACAATAAGCAAATTAGTCTTTTATTCTGATAAATAACCAAACATCGCTATACTAATCACATGGCTAATTTTAACTCATACATTTGTAAAAAAAAAAAAATAAATAAAAAAAAAAGGAAATTTTGTACATAGTTAAATTAACATTTTAATCCAATTTTCCAAATAGATTAAACATTTGCACAGAACTGTATTATTTTTTCACAATGCATTACTTTCCTTACCAATTATTATGTTGTGGTAACTGATTACACGCCTTTCACATTTCGAAATGGGTATTTAATTTAATATGTTTATGACAATTGTTTAATTGTTTCTGTTCATTTAACTTGTAGCATATTATGCTATATTTTACTTAATATTAGAATTTTTAAAGTTGAATTTTATTTTTATAATTAGCAGGCCGAATATAACTTAAATTTGGACAGTGACTTTGGCCTTGACCAGATTTTAATAAATTAAGACAGCAATTAAAGGTAAATGCTTTTAAATACCAGTTAGCTGTTGTTTATAGTGAATATGAAATGTCAAAAAACAGATACAGAAAAGCAAATACACAAAAGGAACATTTGATGTTAAACAAAGGAGAAATAATGAAGCAAAGAAACACAGAAAAGAAAATCGAAAACCTGGCTCAAGTAGAATAAAATAATAAATGAAAAAGGTAAATAAAATCTCAAATATAACTATATCAAATTTACCCACACAACAAAGCATTCAATTTATTTAAAAGTAATGATAAATGAGCTATTATTTTCAATAAAAAAAGCAAAAAGATTAATCCTAATTTAGACGTTTTTCAAACATGTGTATTATTCGTACATTTGCATTTTACTGTTCAACAATATAATTGCACATATTTTAAGTATAATATTGAGTTATGAATATAAACGTGAGGTGCATTTAACTGCATTAATGACCCTTATGAAATCACAGGCTTGATTCATAACGATCTGCTATGCTCGATGCTAAAAGGAGCCAAAAAAAATTTTTTTTTTCTTCTTTTAAATAAGAACCAACAATTTTAATAGTGTGACATTTTTACTCATTCGCTTATGTGTGTGCGCGCAAGGTCATCAGTCACTCTAATGTGTTTACTGTTTTGGATCTAAAGGAAGGCACTTTAAAAGCTACTTTAGCTTCACCTACCCACAACTAGGGGCCTGAAAAGACACTCACGTTCACTGAACAATGATTCCAGTATTACTTTCACTGGTATGCAGCATGCGATGTGCCTGTGCTCCAGAAGTTTGCAGATTGGCTTTCAGAATAATGTATTTGTACCCCAATACACGCATCTTTAAGTATTTGTTTAGCATGATCGGCGAAAGCATCCTTACTCATAGCAGGCCTTATGAGTGTGTGAGAGAGGGAAAGACTGAAACATTTTATTGTAGGTCCGAAAAGCGCTAAACTTGTTTCTGCGCATGGATAGGCCCACTATATTATATAAGTTTAACACATCGAGTCAGTATAGAATGCAAAATAAGCTACTTTCAAATTGTCAGAACTTTGATCAAATATTACATCGCAATCACTATGAAAATTAGAAGAATATTTACATAAAATGAATTCGAGATGTTTTGCATGAACGTTTACAACGGATTATATGTGCATTCTCCTTATTCCAGACGAATGTTTCCTACATTTCAAGTCAAAATATTTGGAATGGACCCAATGGCAGATTACATGCTCCTGATGGATTTCCTACCAGTGGATGATAAACGATATAGGTATGCCATAAACCTAAATGTGCCAAGGGCATAACTTTAAGGCCTACTACGATACATTGCATGCATGCATACCTTATATGTATGAAAAGGAATAAATATCTGTAAGGTTGTCTACGATTTTTTAATGCACAAAATGTCATATTTATAGTGAATATTAATACATTAAGAGCACAACCCAACAACCTGACAGTCCAAGCAGAGCGCTCATTATTTTTCTTCTCTACACGGAAGGTATGCCTTCCACAGTTCTTCGTGGCTGGTGGCCGGGAAAGCCGATCCAGCGACTCCAGGAAGAGTGCACTATCACCCCGACTCACCTGCCAAAGGAGCGCAGTGGATGAAGCAGATAGTTTCCTTCGATAAACTAAAACTAACCAATAATCTATTGGACGACAACGGACATGTAAGTGTTACCTTTTTTACTTAAAAAATAAATAAATAAATATGTTTTTAATAGTAGATTGATTTAAACCTATAGATGGGCTTTGTCTTGATTTATTTGAGAACAGCACAGACCAGTGGAAGACAGAGTAAATAATGCCCGGGCAAAATCTGCACATCTAATGTCAATATTTTATAACACTAACCATGGCTAGTCGATATAACCTAATTATTGTATATTTTAGACGTTATGTGTAATATGCAACTTTCGGTGGAAAAACAAAATAAAAATGCGTAAAATGATAATGTATACGTGGGCTAAGCTACATTTAAAAATAAATAATATTTTTGCTGCTTGTTTAAACTACTTACCTAAAATGAACTGAATCAACCAAATTCTCGAGTTTTTTGGGCGGACAACTTAATTGTTTTAAGCTCATTCCACATAAACTATAAACATACATAAATGTAAAAACAATTTGGTTAGCTTAATCAATTTGTGTTGGGCCATTATGAAGGAATTGTGCGGAATCCAGCATTTTTTTTTTACAGAGTAGGCTAAAATAATTGTGAATGTTCTACTCTTTTGATCGCTTCTTAACTTTTCATATATAAACTCTACATTGAAAGTATTTTTTAAAAACCTTTTATGCTAAAAACATTTTTTAAAACATTTAGAAAAATGTACGCGTAAAAAGCGTAGATTCACCTGGTTGATGCTCGCTGCCTGGTTTATTCATTTAAAAAACTGTTCAGTTATTATTGTTGCTCTTGCAGATCATACTGAACTCAATGCACAGATACCAGCCCAGATTCCATGTGGTCTACGTGGATCCTAGGAAAGACAGCGAGAAATACGCCGAAGAAAATTACAAGACATTTGTTTTCGAGGAGACCAGATTTACCGCCGTCACAGCCTATCAAAACCACAGAGTAAGTGCTCATCTCTGACACTAATTACTACATTTTAGAAAAACCTTCCTGTTTTCACATATACCCACTGGTTATAATATTAGGCTTACAGCAAATTACAGAATTAAAAACCACTCGCTTTTCTTTAGGGATAAATGCTAATGTTTTGTTAACTTGTTTCATCCGTAGCCCACTTAGAAATGTTTTTTGCTACTTGAAAACTAGGCTACTTATTTAAATGAGCTGAATTTACACAATTCCTAAGTTTTTTGGGGGGGGGGATCACCTTGATTGTTTTATGTACAATCAACTTATATTGATCAAAATGACTAAGTTAACTTAATTTTTTGTCGGAAAAACACGAAGGATTTGCGTGGAACCCAACATTTTTACAGACGCTTTAAACCAATAAAATAATAATAATAATACGAGTATATATATATATATATATATATATATATATATATATATATATATATATATATATATATATATATATATATATATATATATATATATATTACAATTTGATGACTTTATAAATGGGCAAATCACATCAATAGGCTAACGATGTTCATTTGATTTCAGTTTAGTTTTAAAATTTTAAATACTGTAATTACAATGATTAATAAAACTTTAATTTAAAATTTAATAAAGTTAGGCTACACTTGACGGTGGCTGAGCGCTGAAAGACTGTGGTGTCACCGATGCTCTCGCGCAGCTGTCCAGTGTTTTTCTTCTCTTTTTTTCATCTGTCTTTCCTGCTCTGTCTTCTATCAGTTTGACCTCTTGATCTCCAACTCTCACCGCGGGCTTTACATTTGTTTTTCAACTCATTCCGGAAAATCACGCACACATCTTCATCCAGCGCTTTTCCACAGCCATGAGGCATTACCTCGCGCGTCCGTACTTAACATAAATACTTTACAATCCGTGTCCAAATAAATGTTGAAATGTTTTATAGTTAAGATAAATACAATCGTCGAGTGTCTACGCCCTGGAACACCGCACATATTGCATTAAAGTTGTTGTATAAGCGATTAATTGGAGCGTTACATGGTTTAATGAGTTTACAATTTAAAAAGGCTTATAATAACACAAGGCTCTGGAATGAACTTGATTACCTGTATAAACAATAACACTGAGTGAGCAAAAATAAATGAACAATACTGGAGGTGAATACCCGTATTTGTTCATTTGGCAATTCCATATTTTTCAACTTCTCTCTTTATTTCTCTCAGATAACACAACTGAAAATCGCCAGCAATCCGTTTGCCAAAGGCTTCAGAGACTGTGATCCCGAGGACTGGTGAGTTTTACCATATTATTTTCATCCATTTATCTGAGGTAAAACATAAGTAGTTAGGCAGAAATTGATTTCAATAAAACAAAAATGCACTTTAGACAATGAATGCTTACTAGATTTGTATAGCATAACTGTGCTTTGTTTTGTAGCTACAGGCCTACTTGACCGTTTTCCTTTGTACCTTAAATATTTTCATTATTATTATTATTATTATTATTATTATTATTATTATTATTATTATTATTATTATTATAACTTATGTTTAATTAAATAGGAAAATATTGAATCATGCTCACATGTTTTAATCTATTAAGGCCTTATATTACAGATAAAATATTGTTCTCAACTCTGAAGCTAAAACTGGTATCTTTAAAAACACATATTGGGTCAAACATGGACAATACCAAAGTTGTATATTATATATATATGTGTGTGTGTGTGTGTGTGTGTGTGTGTGTGTGTGTGTGTGTGTGTGTGTGTGTGTGTGTGCGTGTGTGTGTGTGTGTGTACGTGTGTATTTTAATTAAAATATACATTTTAACCCAGCTGGTTTGACCATATTTGCCCTAGCATCTGAGGTAAAACATAAGTAATGAGGCAAATTAATGTCAACAAAATAAACATGCACATTAGACAATGAATTGATAACATTTTATTGTTTTGTAGCTATATATATATCAACCATTTCCCCCTGTACATTAACTATTATATTGCATTTTCAGCAAAATTACAAATTTTTAAATTGAATAGAAAAGTATTTATTTATGCTTATATTTGTTTTATTATATTAAGGCCTTATTAAAGATAAAACATATTGTTTACCCCTAGAAAATAACTAGCCAGAATAAAGTATTCATTCATTTTTTATGCTTATTATTCTTTCTTGTTGTTGTTGTTATTTTCCCCATTTGTTTTTAATGAGACTAAGGATAATTTAAACTCCAAAAAACTCATGTCTTAAGCTAAAACTTTAGTGAACTAAAATATTGGGCCAAATATAAACAAAGTTGGGCAATTGTTTTTTTTTTATTATTAAATTTAAATAAAGTCAAATCAACCTAGTTGGTTTGACTATATTTGCCCCAGCATTTGGTTTACAACAACCCAGCATGTTTTAGTGTATTGTTTACTCTAAATATAGTAGTCTGAAAACATGCAACATTTAATGTCATTTATTTTTAAATAATTTGCTCCAAATAAAATTTGTATTCTGAATTAGGAAGAAATGTCATCTCTAAATACAAATTTACAGGATTTATATATATAAAAAAAAGTGTTTTACGCAATATAAATTGCAATTTTAAATGTGCACAAAAACACACATACATTTATCATATACAGTGCTCAGCATATATGAGTACACCCCTCACAAACCTCTCATTCAAAATTTATATTTTCTATAGGAAGCTTTACAATGTTATATTTCTGCATATACATTAGATTAGTCAGTACTGACGCCAATCTGAAGCAAATGTAACAAAATAACTAACAATAATGGTGCAAAAACTGATAACTCAAATTTATATGTTAGAGGAAAATATGAATTTTTTTTTCAAAATAAGCAAAAATCAAAAGACAAAAAAAATATTTAAACAATTTTGTTGAAAAGTGTTTTTTTTTTTTTGCAATATTTTTCATGAATTTAATTCTATTATCTTTCCATTTCTAAAGATGTTCTGTGACTAAACTATTATTTTAATACATATTTTTGTTTAATAAATCTGTGTTGTTTAAATGCACCAATATATATTACCCATATTCACTGAGAAATGGATAAAAATATTTATTTACAAAATGGGGTGTACTCATTAGTGCTGAGCACTCTTTTTATTTGTGTGCACATGTTTTGCAATTTACAATGGTTTAACAGTCAATATTTCAAACAGCATTCTACTTTTCAGGGTTTTAGGCTGTTACATTAAATATGCATATTTAAAAGACAACCTGAAAGCCTTAAAATTCTAATAGTGTTTGACATACCATTCATTATACATAAAACAATGCATTCCAGTCCCTGATTCTATCTTGCCTGCTCTTCAGGCCCAGGAATCACAGGCCAGGCTCGCTACAAATCATGAGTGCTTTTGCTCGAACCAGAAACCCCATGTCTTCTCCCCCACAACAGAACGGCACAGAAAAAGGTCTGTATACAAAACACTGCTAACACAATCTGATTTAGCAAGAAAACTATGTGTTAAAATAATATTCCTTTGTTTACAAATGAACATTTCAACAATATGACAAGACAAATTGTCACATTTGCTCTACGGATAATATTGTGTGCCTATTACACATTTAAATCCATTACTGATCAAACGGTCCGTACAAGAATGTACACTCACATACATAAACACTAAACCTTTTTCTGCTGTGATTACAGCATAAAAGCCAACTCGCTTGAAATGAGCAACAGGCCCAAATAAAGGGTCTACAGTGGAGTAATAGCTCCAGTCTGTTGGGTTTTTAGCATCCATGTTCCACTGGGCAAAACAGTTACATTTGTCTAGTTTAGTGCCGCAGATTTCAATACAAAAAGGTTTGAACAGCTGCGTGCCTGGAGGACATGCTCCTCAGACTGAGATTTTTTTTTCGGTCCTTCACAAAGTGTAAAATGATTTCCTGTGAGAATTCGCCTCTTTGGCTGAAGGACACTCATGACTTTTCCTGCCAATCAAGCGCAGCACATCTCATTTCACAAATGAACTAAATGACACCACTTTGTCATTGCGGTTCAGGTCTATGAACTCATTGTCTGGGCTTCTTAAATTTGTAAAGAGTCATTCAAAACACTGCATCATTAGACAAGCATATTTACAAAAATAAAAAGAATAATAAAAATAAGATTTTAGTGGGTCATTCCACTGTGGTGACCCCAGATTAATAAAGACACTAAGCCGAAAAGAAAATTAATGAAAAATAAGATTATTGAAGGATAAGAAAATGATGTTGATTCTTCAGGAAGCAAGTGACAAAAGTTTAGTTATTAAAAAATGCAAAGCCACTGATAGTTGAACATTGAATTGATTTATGACAAATAAGATTCTTTTTTTTTTTTGGACAGATGGCAAACACATACCAGCAAATTATACCAAATTTAAATCAACAAATTTATTTATTTTAGTCTAAAAATTCTGCCTGCCTTGTTCATTGCATTTATTTTCACTCTAATATGAAAAAAAAAACATGACAACAAAGAGTTTTATGTTACTTTAACTTTAGGTAACTTTACTTTTACTTTAGTTTCAACTAAATGTTTTTGCTCAGAGATGCCCAAAGTTGGCCCATTGTAATCTTTGATTTGGCCCATCATCCTATCTAAGAGGACAGTGAGAATAATGAAGAGGATTGGGGCAAACACCTTCAACACAGAAATCATCATTTCGAATTTGACATGACCTTTTTGTTTGTTTTATTGCTGAGCTACAAAGAAGCAAACTAAACTTCAATGTTTCAATTGAATGTTGTAAATTAATCAGATTTTTAAAAATGTAAATACTGTCACTCGACTGATAGAGCACTAAGCAGAAGACATTGGCAAGCAAATCAAGGCAAAAACTAGTGTAATTCTGTTATAAATGCGATTGTTATGTTTTTACTGTAATGAGTTCATTATAAATGTAATAAATACTGTATTAGATAATTTAAATAAATGTTTTCTAGTAATTTTTAAATATTATTAAATAAATAAGGAAATTACCCATGGCAACTATTTTTCTTTGGCGCACTAGCCTCATTCAAGTTTGGTTTTTGGCCCTTCAGAGTTTAGGCACCCCTGCTTTAGGTTATACAAAGTTTAACTTGACATTTTTTGTCAGTTAGACTGATGTAAGTTTGATTCAACTTAAACATTTAATGCAGCAAGGCTTTTTTAACAATAGAAAGACCATTTTCTTTTAATAATTGTTCACTGAAAAATTCATTTTAAAAAATCATTGTAGAAATGTAATGAAATAATCATATTGGGTTCTTTTGGTTCTACAAAAACAATTTTATTTTTTTTAATAAAGTTGGTGTTAACTGCCTGCTCTGCCAAATGGTTGACAATATTTTGACTTTTAAATAATGACTGTTAATGAAGTAATTTAAAGAATGACTGTTTTAAATAATGGTTTACACACACAGCATTGTTGGTTTACAAAAAACAAAAAACAATCCTGTTGCACTACTACACTTGATTTTGGTTTTATTGAAAAAAAGTGTTTAGTGTTAACTAAATGAGAATCAGAAATATTTTATAGCACACTCAAAAAAGGTGATTTAGTATTTAAAAATGTTTTATTTTGAATATGTTTTTAAATAAATTGGTCTTACACTTTATATTTTCATAGTATATGTATTAATTCCAGCACTTTTACCATACATTGACAAATCAATCATTTGGTTGAGGCTGATATTTTAGAAATGATGGAATGTGTTGAAAAAAATGCATTGAGTGTGTTAACTAGTGACATTAGGAGATAAGAAATGCAATCCAAATATTTATTTTCTTGGTGGGGCAGTTAATATTAAAAATAGATTGCTAAGCTCTTCTCCATTTTGACATATTAGAGCGACATCTTATCAAACAAGATACAAACTGTAGGGTGGGACTTGATTGTGTCTACATGTTAAAAATTGATTGAATGGAATGATGATGGTATGATAGTCACTTCAGCAAAAAAGGCCAAGTACAAGAAGACATTATTCCCACTGCCAATGTTTTAAAAAAAAAAAAGATTTTTAAAAATAGCTTTTTTAAAAATAGGTTTACGTCTATTTATGTCTAAAGACAATTTTCCAACCCCTGTGGGATAGATAATAAAGTTTATTGAAATGAAAGGAATGATAGTTGAGGTTAGCGATCGGTCTAATGTCTGTGATCGGTTGATTGTGCCTTTATGCCCAAACAAAAAAATAAAAATTATGTGTTAATTTTTAAGAGCCTCTAACTTAGAGACTTCTTTCATTGTGCATAATAACATATAGCATGTTGCATTAAATCCTATATTTAACACAATATTTCTTTTACATCCATAGAGGACAGCAGGCGAGAATATGACCGTGACCCCAGTGGGAATCCTCTGCATTCTGACCCCACTCACCAGCTAATGTCTCGAGTCCTCAGCCCTGCCCTTCCAGTCCTCGGCGGCCTCCATGCCGTGCCCCTCACAGCTGGCCCACGCAGCCCACCTCACGAACTTCGCCTCGACGGACACCCGCAACCACCAGACACCCTGCATCATCATCCCTACAAGTATCCAGCCACCTACGAACACTACCTGGGAGCCAAAACCAGGCCGTCCCCCTATCCCTCACCCAGCATTAGAGGCCACGGTTACCATCCACACATGAACCCAACCACAGCCAACATGTACTCTGCGACGAGCGCACCGACTAATTATGACTACGGACCCAGATAATGACTGATTAAACTGAAAACACACACACATACCTTTGTGTCTTGGACTCACTTGTTGAGTTTTGGATTGGACACATCTTTTGTAGTGGCTTCTGACGGACGAGAAGAGGAGCTGCCATATTTATTGAAGGGAGAGATGTCACAAATGTCCTTGTGGAGCATGTGGACAACATTTGCTCCGGACGGCCTGTGAACTCAGAATCAGACAATGAAAGGCCACTGGGAAACTGCAGTATAACTAGTGTTTGGAGATATGAGGAGGACTTCTTTAGACAAATGATGCATTATCACGGACTGGAATTGAACTTTTGTGTTGGATGCACTTTTTTGTTTTTGCTTTTAAAAAGCCATAAGTTATATATATATTACCCTTGAGCCATTGAGCTTCTAGATAGATGGATTATTTGCATGTCGCGCTGTTTTGAAGGTGCTGAAATGCCCTGATTTTTAATTCTTTTTTTTTTTTTCGGGAAAATGCTAGACCACCTTTAGCAGATCCGTGAAGCTTGTAACGTGGCACTGACGTACAGCAATTCAAATAAATAAATGAACAGAATGGCTGTGCTGAACTTGTAAAATAAACATTAAATATTTTACCTTTAAACTTGTTCGGTTAGCATTTGCAGTTCTTCTACAGTTTTTGCAAGAAGCTTTATCAATTTCCTTACTTGGAGGAAATGCAACAAGCTGTTTTTGTTCTCCTCAGACCTTCAGAAATGTTTGATTTGGACAGAAATTAGAGATGCATTATTCAACAGAGGATTGTAATTGGGCTTATTTCAACCTCCAAACAAAAATATATCACCCTTGACAGAAAAAAAACTATTTTAATATTTTCTTAATATTTATTATATTTTAAAAGTAAAATCTTTATTTTTAAATAAAACTCAAATGACTGAATTAGTGGCGTATAAATGGTTGAATGTTGCTCATTAACATTTAATATTCATTGCTTTTTTCTTTTTTTTTAAAGAAAGGCTTTCTTTAATCATAAAACCATGGCTAAAGTTGTGCTCTCATTTTAACAGTGTGCAAACTTCATTAAAAAGGAAGAAAAAATATTTATTGTGCATCTATCAATTATTTATTATAAACATAATTACTTAAGCATTCAGACATACTAATTATAAAGAAATAATGAGGTTGAATGTTTTGGCAAAAAGCGTTTAAGTAGCCTAAATATCAATTAAAGTGAGTCGTTATAGAGTAATACTGAAAATCGGGCTTGGCAGAGTCTACTCTACTGTTTTTCTGCTCGGTGATTTAGTTAATCCCATGGTAGAGGAAAGAAACGCTTGCACACCATTTGACCTCTGACAGCTAACGACTTTCTGAAGTATCAAAGGTTAAACAATGTTTCCAGCAATTTGAGGGACGACTAATTGCTCGTATAATTTTTTGTTTTGTGGTAACAATTCGATGCGGTGGGACCAGCAATGCATAATGGGGGCATTTAATTGCTCTGCGTTATTAGAGGTCAAAAAGGGAAAACGAGTAAAGAAATTAAATAAAGAGGCGATGATAAACAACACAAGAACGGGAAAATTTTATGTATGCTCAATGTTTTCCAATGATTATTCATAATGCATAACAGTATAGTTTTTTTTGTAAATTATAATAGGAAAAAAAGGCCTATACATAAATTATGCTCATGCAATAATCTTTAAAAAAATAATATAAATAATGAAACAAAAAATAATAAACAACTTTTAAATTAACTGCTTTTACATATTGATCGAAAACATTTTCAATTAACTGTTTTGCTATATAGAATGATCAGCATTTTTGCTGGTTGGTTCAAACTAATTTAAAGTAAGCTGAATTAACAATTCTTGACTTTTTTTTTGGGGGGGGGGCTTAATCGTTTTATGTTCAATCAACTTAAATTTGCAAAAATAAGTTAATTTAATCTATTTGTGTTGGACAACATGAAGGAATTTTGTGGAAACCAGCATTTTTTTTACAGTGTACAGCCAAATTATATTCACTTTAATGTGTAATGATTTCTTTAAGAACAATCCGTCAATTGTCAAGTAAAGTGTGCATGTCATTTCCCAACTTTTGGGGCCGGAAGAGCCCGTTTGGAGGATTGGGCCTCCCTTCGCGTGAGCGTGTTCCCGGCTAGAGGTAATGAGTTTGGCCCATCAGGAAGGCAGGGACACCCGGACCCATGGCTCTTCCGTCAGGATCTGCCCATCTGTGTTTTCTCTGGTAGCGCTTCGCCTTGATGAGAGGGGCCGACAGGGGCCCGCGGTCGTGCAGCCGGTGTACCTGCATCCATGACTGACGACTGACGGCTGCTTACAACAATGAGCGCTTCTAAAAATGCGCATTATTTATGGGCCGAATGCACCGAAAATTGTATCCGTCTTTGAAGTTCAAATGCGTGAGAAGTTCAGCATGGAAATGAGGAAATACGCGCACTTCGAAAACAAGCGCACACACACACAAAAATACCGAATGACAGATTTGAGTAATTATGTGTAAAACACCCTGGTTTGGTATTTGAATGCCAACACTTGCTGTAAATAAAAAGTAAAAAGGTGTCTAAATTACTGGACTGCTACATTACTAGGCTAGGCCTATATTATGTTCATTTATAGTAACATCATATTTACATAATTATTTGGATATAAAATGTGTTCACTTTTCCGTAACAAAATAATTATAATATTAATTAAATAAATAGAACGACGTTAAAAAAAAACAATTAAAATGTAAGATAGTCTACATAAAAAAATATGCGTTGGTTTAAAAATAAGTTCAAAGTAGCAGCAGCCTAGTATAATAATAACAACCTAATAATAATAAATTCAATATCTTAATTTGTTAATATTTGAGATAATATCTAGGCTATTACCATTTATATTTTGTTTACTTTTAATAGGTCAACATATAATAGAAACCTGGATTATGTGTAGCCTACATAAAATAAACGATGTATACTAATAAGCAAACAAATTAATTAATTAATTAAGATGCGTGCATGCGCAAGTTTTGCAACCGAGGTCTTAGTGTAAGGAAACAGTTACTTCAAGACCTCAGTACTGACAAAAATTACTGCAAAAGGGTGGTTCCTCAAGAAACCCATTTATGAGAGAAAGTGTTTTGAGGTAGGCTACTTAAAATAGATTTTGAAGTTCATTGAGTACTCAACAGGGTTTTTTATGCAACTTTTTACAGTGTATAATAATAACCTATATAAATAAATTCAATAAATTAATGAGTCAACAGAACCTGTATGATTTGTAAAATAAACGAAGGATAGGAAACAAACAAACAAAAATGCGCGCAAGATGTGCTATATTTTATTTAGGATATTTGTATTTACCTCCGACAGTCTCATAATTGTGTTATATTTTTTAAAAATGTAATGGTACTTTAATGATAGCCTGTCAATAAAGTATTATTATATTCTAAAATATTACACACATTTATAGATGATAGGCTACTATCGGAGGTAAACACAAATAGTCATTGAAAAAAAAAGTCCGATAAAACATTTTTCGATTTAAAAATTACTATTAATAAAACGATTTAAAAAAGAGCATAAAGAGGTTCTCAAACATAGAAACATAAGACTCTAAAGCATATAAATAAACACTACCAAAACACTGCATTATGGCAAATTAATACTGAGTGCTGACCCAGTTTTTCAGTAAATGTACCTTTACGTCGTCTTCCAGAATGTGGATTCATCATGCAGTTGTGGTGATTGTCCAAGTCTATCATTTGTATACAAAGAGAGGCAATAAATCAGCTGATTATAAACGATGGTAAAAAATACATCATATTTTATTGTATAAATGTTGTTTTATATATTAGCCCATGTTGAAAGGGCGTAACTCGCTCCACATGTACACTTCTGCGACCAAAAAATAAAAGCAAAGTAAAACACACTAAAATGCTAAAAGAAAAGAAAAAAGTAGGCTAATCATCTGACACAGGGTCGCATCTGGAACATCTGTTGTGACAAGCCTATCTTTTGTGTACATTTTTCTTACTTGGCACGTCCAAAGACAGCTCTTCAAAAAAAAAAAAAAAAAAAAAAAAAAAAAAAAAAAAACTTAAGGTAGACCAACCCTGCAAAAATGTTTACCTACAGCCATGCACGTGTTTCGCATTTTCCCGCGTATTTCAGCGAATTTGCGATCCATTTGTCAACACTGCATATGAAAACAAATCACCGGTGTGCTTATCGCAGACAACAGAAATCGTTTCATTCTGACTCGGCTTGCCAACATATAAATAATTTACTATAACACAACCAGTGTTCAGTTTCTCTCATTCAAAGGGCCATTTCCTTAGACCGTGATTACCTGGGATCATTTGTTTAAAAAACTAACATCTAATCATGCAGATTTACTGTATTTCTAGTACAGAGTAATATGTTTAAAACAGCAACACATGCCACGATACAGCGGTGGGAAGTTAACCCGAATTCTTCACATTATTTATTAATTAACCAATTAAAAAGGGTTTTATTAACGTCTACCATGATTCTATATAATAAAAATAATGAAGCCCACATTCACAGATTATACTATATTGATGTGCGTATGCCGGAGTACCTGCAGCTGTATCCTCTTTTGTCTTTACCGGTGACTACGGTTTGTTTAAGCTGGCGTACAATGGTCAGGTGACCTCTGACCTCTAGTGCTATAGACCGGCGTGTGTCTGTCATTCAGCAAGCCACAGGTTTTTTTCAGTGGCCGTGTCGGGGTTCTGCTTATACTGACTGCTTAGTGATCTATTATTGACATGGGAGGTATAAGCTGAAATCTCCAGCAATAGACGCTGATGTGCAATTCACAAAGCGGATGGAAGGGACCCCTGGCATGGCTTTGTTGTGCCCTCCCCATCGAGTCTACAAAAGTAGGAAGTGATTACCAATCGGACGAGGTCATGGACAAAGGTGCGCGAGGGTCCACAGATGACAAGGAGAAGGCTAATGACATGGCGGGCGGTGAAATGAACTGTTTTGTCTTCCTCTCAGGCCGGCGACTAGCCCGCTGTTGTTTTTCCTTTAAAAGGATGGCCTCCGAGTTCCCCGAGCTTCCTGTACCGTCTGATGAGATATTCCAGTCTGGGTTTGTCCCCCGAGACACGTGCTTTATGGGGCTGAACGGCTGTGGGCCGTTTGAAGTTCCACCGCCACCGTTTTGAGACGCATGAAATCCCACTTAGCTTAGTAGCATGGGTGGCTATTATTACCGTATACGCTGACAAATATATTTACTTTCAAAGTCTTCGCATGTTAGTCAACTTATTCGTGCGAGTTTAAAATAAGCAGGTCATTAAAACAGGTTTCTGGTGGAGTTTATATATATATATATTTTCTTGAAGCGGCAGGTTCTGATGCGCAATAGCATTTGCTGATCAGTTCTGTTAAAGATTCTTTAAATATTTTATGGAAGAAACTTTTGGTAGCATTTATAGTATTTTCTCCATCCAAATTTTGATAAAATTCATAACAAATCGGAAAATCTATTAGCCTAAACATTTTTGCCTCTTCGGTAGCCTACTCAAAGTTTCCAAACAATGCAAATATCAACAAACCTAAAAAAAAGCCTATATATCAAATCAGATATCAGTTAAATGTGACATTTTAAAGACATTTCAATCAAAACAATCATACATCCAAGTATAGACTGTTTATGCTGTATTTCTTTTACTTTATTAAAAATAATAAAAGTTCATAATGGTCATTCTTTCACAAACTGATATTAGAAGTTATTAAAATCCTCCAATCTGATGTTTTTTTTTTTTTAAATGTAATGTATTCTGAATATTAAAACTGGTCCTCAGTACTCATTCACATTTAAAGGCATGGATCACCCAAAAAACAGTATTGTTTCCATTATTTCACTTTCAAATGGTTATAAACTTTTATGAGTTTCTATCTTCTGTTGCACACAAAAGCTTTTTTAAAGAAAGCGGGAAACCTGTAATCTTATCCATATATAAAAAAAACAAATCCTATGGAAGCTAATGGTCACAGTTTTCCAGCTTTCTTTAAAGGGGGTGGGGTCCTTCATTTGAGTATATGCACTATTTATGCTGTATTTCTTTTAATTAATCAAAAATAATAAGTTAATAAGAGTCATTCCTTACGAAATGGATATTAGATGTTATTAAAAATCCTCCAATCTGATGCTTTTAAAAAAAATGTAACTTATTCTGAATATTAAAACTGGTCCTCAGTATTCATCCCTATTTAAAGGCAGATCACCCAAAAAAACGAATATTGTCTTAATTTATTCACCCTCAAGTGGTTATTAACCTTTATGAGTTTCTATCTTCTGTTGAACACAAAAGAGTATATTTTGAAGAAAGCTGAAAACCTGAAACTATTTATATATCTATCGCAGGTGAAGCAAATGCTATAGAAGTTAACCAAGTAATGGTTACAGGTTTCCAGCTTTCTTCAAAACTTTAGTGTTCAACAGAAGAAAGAAACTTAAACCAGTTTGGAACAAGTGAAGGATGAGTAATTGATGACAGAATTGTCATTTTTGGGTGAAATATCCCTTTAAAATTCTCATCTACAAATAGTGTAAACAATAGCAGATTTCAGCTCTCTTAATATGTAACGTCAAGTCATTTCAAAATAACACAAGTAGAAAAGAAAAAGGAAACAAAAAGAAACCGTACAAACTACTTTGTTGAGTGAGCCGTGCTGTAGTCGCAGAGCAAAAGCAATAACTACAAAAATAACTAGTTTGTCTTTTAGCCACATCCGAACACAGAGGTCAGCCTTGTCTTTAGGCTGAAAATAGAGCCGCCTTCATCAGCTCATGAGCTTAAAGGGAAGAACGAAGCGAAGCTTGCTCAATGAATCTTTCTAACAAACAGGCCTGTCTGTGGAGCCCGAGCCCCTGTGATTAACCCGGCGTGATGTATGCAGGTCAGTCCAGAGGGCAATCTTAAACTCGGAGGCAGATTTGGAAAAACAGCGCTGGATTACTTTGCCGCTCAGGTGCGACTTTGAGAGCAAATACACACCTAGTGAAGGACATCAGCCTGCAGTAAAGCAAACAGACGGTTTAAACTTTGCCTTTGACAATACAACGCTTTTAAACATAGTGGAAAACTGGAACAAAACACAGTGATGGAGTGTGTTTAAATTAGCTCCTTATGTTTGATTTTGGAGAATTGCACCCAAAAAAATTCGTCAATCAGATATCCCGAATGTGATTATTGTAGCCCCGCCTCCTAATGGCAGCCAGCCACTAATTTAGGCACATTCATTTAAAGAAAAAGATGTTAGCGCCACGTTCAAGTATGTAAATATTGTCAGAGTAATTTGCGACAATCAGTTTGAAGGAAATGGCAAAGCAGGCCTCTGTCTTCCAAACTCAACTTTCACTATATATAGACCACACACTTATCCGCTGGTCCTTGGACCCCGCGGCCAAAAGTCTCTGTGTGGGGTCCTGATGGTCTGAGAAGGCAACACTATTCACCATGTCAGTATGATGTTGCAGAACAGCCAGTGGCTTTAGTTTCTTCCAGCCAAATACTCTAATGTTGTTGTCCCAGCCTGCCGAAGCTAGGATCTTGCCGTCGGCACGGATCCGCAGCTGGGAGACCCCAGGATTGGTCATCTGAATAGAGTCGTGCATCTGTAGGGGAGGACACAAATCACACATTAATCCAAATGAGCTGTGATGGCAAACAACCTCTTTGGAATCCCTTCAATTAAATCACAATGACAAACACATATTGAATATCAAATGTAAAATAAGTCCTCACCAGACATTCTTAATCGTCTCAGGCGTCTAGAAAGGATTATCTTTTAAACTATTTACCAGAAACAAATGAGTTTGTTGTTTAATGACCTGAGCAAGATCAAATTTAAATCCATAAAAACGCAGGACTGAGGAGCGAGAGCAATTCCCCACCAGCCACCTTTGGCTGATCTGATGATTGAGCCGCAAATGAACGGCTAAATAGCTGTTGAACCTGGCAGAGGAAATCTGTGCGCGACTCCAGCGCCTCAATCATCGGCCGCAAAACATTCAAGGACTAGCAAAAGGCTACAGCTATTTAGATTGGAGCGTTAGGTTGTAGGTGGGGTGAGGTACCTTTGTCACCATGCAAGGACTGTTTTTTGCTGAAATCTTTGTTTGCAAAGGCCTTGTTGTTTTAAGGGTCTCTAGAGAATTACATTTGCATTGAAAGATCTGGTCAACACCATAAGGGAAGCAAACGCTGGCTAAAGATTACCTTCCCTTGCTCTCTGTGATCTACAGTGGCCAAGAGACCAGATAAATCTCGGTAATGGGCAACAATGTGACGTATTATAAAGTATTACCGAGAGCTCATTATCTGCGGCCCCTTCTCCTTTGAGGACGTTCTCGAGGTATTTCCTGGAGAAAAGTGCACACGTGTGCTAAGTGTGTGCGTGAGCGAGTGTACGCACGTCTCCCTATGGGAGGCATCTGGTCCCGAAGCTGGAATCAAACTGGACAGCGTAAAATTGACTTCATAAGCGGTGTCCAGAGAGACTAATGGCTCTCATGCGGGAGAAGACAGTGAAGAATTTGTCGGCGTGCTCCTGTTTCTGCCTGGAAAATCAGAGCCAGTCACTCCTGCATGTGGAAGATATAAGCCAGTCAGGTATTCCTGACCCAAGCGAATAGAAGAATGCACCGGGAAAAACGTCCCTAACATTATTCTTTAGCAGAGAAGGGTAAAACCGGACTCTTGGATTACTTTCGTTCATATTGGTAATCATCTCCCATCATAGTCCAAATCAAATCTGGGGAGTCATGATGTCACCTGCGAGGAGAAACTTTCCCACAAAGGGAAAGCGAGAGACGAGTTTGCGTGTTGTGGCCAAGAGGGACGGGGGAGAAAGATGAATCGCTGCAAGCTGAGGTTGGTATGCCTGAACTAAACGCCCATCTGGTCCATATTACAGAGCTGATAATGATGGGTTAATGTGTCTATCTGTGTTTGTTATGCTTCCCATAGTTTGTGTCAGGAAAATACATTAATTTAATTAAGAGGTCACAGCAAAGCGATAAAAAAGGTAAATGGGTGTTTATAAAGTGAGCCGTGAGGCCTGTATCGTGAAATAACCATTAGAAAACCATGATTTACAGATGGCCACACTTTCGTTTTTTTAAACATACTGTATGAACTGAATTTTCCTGCAATTTCCACTAATCCAGAGTGTTTTAAAACAGAAGTTTAAATAGAATACATTATCAGATTTTTCGTTTACTCCAAAAGACTTGCTATATTAGCACATCTGGCAATGGCTTTTCCACATACTGTATAATTAAAATGGTGTGTCAACTCCATATTCAATCTTGTTCAAATGCAGTATGGAAGTATTCATTTCAGACACAGCCTCTAGAGTTTGGGAATGGTCATATCATTAGCTTTCATTGATAGAATCCATTCTCCATGGGTTTAGATCCTCTACAACAAACTTGCAGACATCAAAGAGGTCAGTCTTTAAGAACTATCCTTCATTTCTTCGTTGGACTATTGATTCCTGATGGGTAATGTATACCAAGCGGTCATCTATGCACGCAACGTATACACATATACTAGTACTGTGGACAAATAACTAAAAACAAACCTCAAAATTCAACTTCACTGAAAAAAATTATTCAAAGATGATTGCTTGGATTTACTCAATTTTTTATGTTAGGTGGTTTTAAACAATCTATTTGGGCTGAATTTAAACAAACAAAACAAGTTGAACATTATTAAATTTAATTAGTTTAAATTCAATATAAATAAATTGTTTGCAACAGTTCTGCATGCAACACTTTTTTTCAGTGTTGGGCCCAACAGGAGTCAGAGGGGTAGTGCAGTTATTTGATTTTGTTACACAAAAGCCAATAGAGTACAATATGAATGAGCCCAAATATCCTGAAACAAACTCTATCAATCCTTCTTCATCCCAGTGTCAATGTTGTTTTTGAGTGTGCTTTTGGTTAAATGAGTGAAATAAGTTATGTGATTAATAAGTTCAATGTTTTGTCATTCTCTGTGCCTCTTGAAGGAGTTTCCTAATGTTACAAATAAAGAACACAGAAAACATAAATTCATCTACTTGTCAATAGTGTTTAGACTGGTTAGAAGCTATTCTCTAACTTGTTGATTTTAAATAAAGCCTGAAAGAATCATGTGAAGTGTACGCTGCAATCCTGCCATGTTCTAGTCATCAAAATTCCAATAAGACGACACATTTAGTACGTTTCCATGGACATCAATAATCAGATTTTTTATATGATTGAGACAATACTCTGATTAAGAGTCTACCATGTAAACAGCTATTTTTGATTACATTAATGTGATTAAGGTCATAATCGAACTAAACAAAAATTGGATTAAGACGTGGAGTATGCTGATTTTAGTAACATTATTAAAGTGCAGTACAGACATGTAAACACCGCAATCAAACTATTACCGTTGTGTAGGACTTTTGCCGCATTTTGTGACGGGATAATCTATAAACACACAGCCGTTTTACATTATTCTCTGCACCTACCGAGTTAGTGAAGGACCACAGACACCTTTTTGTCCCATAAGGCGTGCTGTATCAAATTCTGGTAAAACAACACTCTTCCTGTAGTTCATACTCGCATCCAATATCTCGTTTGTCAAAAGGGGCATGCATGAAATGTTCCTGAATGAAAGTGAATGTGCCAAACTGCAGTTTAAGTTGACAAATAAAACTAAAACACCCAAAATTACATGAAACTCTGGAGCAAATGTGGATAGCGTGATGATGCAATGACGTTAATCGAATTATGTGCTATAACATGTCAAACAGTATCATAAAAGCAACATTCAATGTAAACACCTTAATCATATTATTGTCTTTTTGGATTAAGACAAGTAACTTGATTACTAATATCCATGTAAACGTAGCCATTGTATTAAGAACTGTTCACATCCTTGGATCAGGAAATTTTCTGGCAAATTTTTTCTTTTCTGGTAGAACACTGGCTAATAATAATCTGCAGCAGACAGATGGAGCAGTAGTTACATGGTACAATCTTAGCTCCTTGAGAATTCCTAGCTCACACGTTGTGATAAGTTTAACAAGCACAAGGAAATACATTTGCATAAAATATATTAAACTCGTTAAAAGAACAGTGAAATACAGATACAAATAAAACCATGCCTTTTGTTTTCTGGGGAGTCTCTAGAGAGTTTTACTGTACAGAAATTGAAAAGGTAAGATAATTCATGAATGTTTAAATAACATTTTATCATGCAAATTATACATTTTTCCTCAATTACGTTTAAACTTTACAATTAATGCACAGATCATATGCGTTTTTAACTGTGGTGCCTGGTCACCAATGTTCCCTACTTTACATTGCACATCCTACAAATTGACTACTGTGGGTATACTCATGTATTGTCTATGCTGAAGCAATACATTTTATCCAGTATGTATGTTTGAACTAGTGGTTAAACTAGGTATTGCATTCCTGGATCAAAAAGCGCAGGCTGCCAGATTGGGGACAGCAGAGAACCATGTTCGACATAAAACCAATAGCACCTGTTAGAAGGAATATTTTCCATATTAAAAGCAGTTTTTAAAAATGGTTTCTATTTCTCACAGGTGAACAACAGAAAACTGACAATGATCACCCTCAGGTACACCTCATGTGCTTTATTCAGTGTTAAATGCTAACAATGTGAGCTTGAATGCCGTTTTCCATGACATGTATTGCCATATTACTGAAAGCAGCAGCAGATAGTTTACCTCAGTTCTTGAAAAAAAAAACACGTTTGAAATTGAACTTTAGAACTGTGACTCAGTGCAAGCCAACACATATCAGTGATAGTACGTTTAATAATGCTAAACAGGGTTAATATGTATTAAATAGATTATAAACTGTACAAGTTCGTGAGTGAGTGCAAAATTCTATGCTTTTGAATGGCTATATTAAATTTCGTGTCGTGTTTCATCTGGTGCATCCAGCCAAATTGCTTATGACTGCGCATCTCATCACCAAGCGTGTTGTTAGGACACGGGGTTATAATGTAACCTGCTCACCTAATGTTTATGTTCATAATATTCATGTCATTTGCTAATTAATAACCTCATGTGAAACTCTAAATCTCATTTGGGAGTCTGCTACTGTCCACCAGAGGTTGCATTTCAGTCACTGACGTATGCTTTCAGACCCTTTCTGAATGAAAGAATGAAATACACAGTTTTCCACCAAGGCAACCAGGGGTGCTAAAATATACCTGGCTAAACAGGCATTGGGCGGGTTTAAAATACCAAAATAAAGACAGCATTCCAGCATGAAAAACACACTTTCACAGCAGAATATCTGACTTCAGCATTGTTTCTCAGATAAACAAGAATGTTCACTTGGCATGTTTCTTAAATATCTGCAAACATATTATGGTATTTGTAAGCTTTAGAAGAGTCAAAAACTTGCATACAGCACCTTTAATGCTAACTTCTCGGTTGGCCTACAAAAATACGTCAAGTTTGCAGCACTCAGTTAAAAAGAAGTAACCTTGATCAGTTTGGGAAGCAATACAAGAGCGACAAAAGTGTCCAAGGACTTTTAGTGCACTTGATTTCACAGCATGACGGCCAATTTAAAATCTAACTGTGATCGATTTTTGG